TAATACATATTGTTTCTTGACCAGCTAAGAAAAGATCATAGCAAAGTGAACGGAGATTCTCTAAACTTTAAAAGAAATATAATTTAATTAAACAAAATTCTTTTTTAATTTATGACATAAAGGTCAAGGACGATTTTAAATAAATTTTATAAGACTTTTGGTTATAAAAACAAAATTCCTTTGATTTTTATTTATGAGTTCCGGTCTTTCATACATATAATTTAAATTATTTTTTTCCAATAAATTAGTCTCGCCTTTTTATTTACATAATTTTTTTAATTTTATTTTTTAGAAATAATTCTACAAATATTTGCTCTTTAAAGTTAAACAGGTTTTTAATTAAAATATCTAGGTGAATATGTTAATCAAAGAATTTTTATTAATTATTTTATTTATTCTAAATAAAAATACAAGATACGGAAACAGAAACTATTTTTCTTCAAAAGAATCAAAATTTAAAATCCTACTAATTTTTAACCACAATCAAAGAATTCTTTCTAAAATTAAAATAAAAACTTACTTAAATTCCCCTTTACCCCCATTTCGTTCCTCCTCTTCCATTTGATCCAAAAAATAATCTAACAAATCTTTTGTTGTTTCTTCACTAATTTCTTCATTTAATCTTTTTTTAATTCTTTCAAAAATATTAAATTCAAAAAAAGAATATGTTGCGGATACTTGGGAATCAAATTCTTTAAAAGTAGAACTAAATAAAGGGAAATATCTTAGCCAAGGCATTCCCATTAATAAACGGCCTCTAATTGTTGTTATTGTTAAACGTTGTTGTTCTAATTTTTCTTTTAAATTGTAAAAGTCTTTGAGGTTATCCTTTAAAAAATAATTTTTTGTTGAAATTTTCCAGATAATACCTCAGTAAAGGGATATCCAAAAAGCATTTGATTTATTGTAGAACCAGCCAAAATATCAATCATTTGATCTAGACGGGTAATTGTTGACCCATCTTCACTCTGTTCAATCTGTTCAGTTAAAGTTTCTGATATCTGTTGTTGAAAATCGTCAAAAAACTAAAAATATTTTTAGAAAACTTAAAAATTAAATTAACTTTTTGCTCTAAATTGCTTCTTCCCATTCCCAAATCGCGCATTGCCTGAAGTGTAAATCGTCTCATTATTCGCCAACGATCACCTTCTGTTCGAATAACTCCATAATTACCGTTTGTTGCTGCAATTATTTATTTAATGAGAAATTTTGATTTTCTAGAATTTGGAGATTTTCGGTATTTATTTTTAACTAAAGATCGAGCCGAGATGGGATCTTGTTCAAAAATATTGGTAATCGAGATCAAGTTTAATTGAAAGTTCGATCTTGGATCAATATTGATCTTCAGATCATTCTTTACTCTATTTCAATCAATTAATAATCTTTTCCATTATATATTTCTACGAAATCTAAAAAGATTTTTAGAAATGATGGGAAATAAGTGCCCTCTTAACTGGTCACTATGCATAAGCCAGTATTACATTTATTAAAAAACAAACCAGTCAAAACACTATTAATTGCAGTCATTAAATGCCTGCCAGAACAAGCCTCTCCCGCCTTAACAAAAGTATCACGCATACATTCAAAATCAGAAATAACAACTACTGGATCTTCTCCCAACCACAAAGTATAGACTGGGCCATATTTATTTGCCCAAATTTTATAAGCCTCATAACCAGGAGCATAACGTGCAAGTGTTAAAGTATTTCCAAGAAGAGGTAAAGGTAGAGGGCCGGGCGGAAGAGATAGACGTTTCCAAACAAAATTCCAAAAGCAAATGATAATTGTAAAAATAAATAGCCAAAGAAGGAATGGGAGCATAATGATAATTTAATTTATTTTTAAAATATTTAATTCTCTATTATGTTTGAAAATATCTTAAAATCATGGATTCAATGAAAAATAAATAAGAATAAAATATCCCACATTTCAAAACGATGGGGTAAAACCCCTCTAAAATTATTATATTTCCAACTCTTTTTTTCCTTTATCTAACACAAATAAATTAAATGTAAAATACCGTATTTTCTTTATTAAAATGCTATGGCATTTTATTTTTCAGTCACCTTCAAGGGTGGCATTCTATTATGGGGTGGCATTCAGTTTGAGGGTGGAATTCTAATAGAGGAAAAAATAAACTCTTTGGATCCTCAGGAATCACTTAAAAGGGTATAATAACTTAACAAAAAATTATCACACCTAATATCTCCTTCAACTATTTAAAAAATACCAAAATAATTATTTAATTGTGAACAATTTATTTATAAAACAAAAGAAGATTTTAATTATTTTTAAAATATATTGCCTAATTTAAATATTTTCTTCAAATTTTTATATTCTAAATTTTAAAGGCGTTTCTTTTAAAAAATGTTTTTTCTTATTTATAAGCTTTATTTTTATAAAATAAATGGGTGGAGTTGTAAATTAATGTTGTAAATAAATGTTTTTATTTAAATGTTTCTGTTATAATTATTATTTAAAAAATGACAACATTTAAAGAAAATAAAAAGGTTAAACATAAAATAAAAATAAAGTAAGGGCAAAAAGCCAAAAAACATCAAAAAATTTAGTTTTTTTTGTCTCAATCTGATTCATTTTAGAGAATGTTAAAAGTTTTTATGTAAAAATATATTTGTTGTTTATTTATTTTTTAATTTTAAAAATTTATTTCCTATTTTCTAAAGAAAAATTAACTACAAGAACTTGTACTTATAATAACATTAAGGCTCTAATTTCTTTAGTAAATTTAAATCTCGTTAATTTTGATTTTCAATCATCCAAGCAGAACAAAATATAAAAAAATATTATAGCGACAAAATAAATTTATATTTAAGTTAAAAGTTTAAAAAGTTATGTCTTTATTAAAAATAAAAAAATATTAAATAAATAAATATTTATTAACAATTTTGCAAATTAAAAAAAAGTAAATGAGCAATTTATTCTATTTTAGTTTAAGAATTATTTCACTAGTTTAAGAATTATTTCACCTTTCCCTTTTTATTTGTTTATTAAAAATGTGTGTCAAATCCCAAATCTATCTCAAACCCAAAAAATAAAGGTAAAAATACCTTAAAGATTATCTTGATACCATTCGATAACAGTTTTATGCCACAAAGATATAGATAAGATTCGATTTAACAAAATTATTTATAAAATTTCTTGGTTAAATGGACAGCGGTAGTAAGGGTCGTTTATTTAAGTGTTGCATTTTGCGCATAATTTCTTTGATGGAAATTTTTTTAGAAATCATTGGTCTTTAAGTATAAAAAATGATTGATTAAAAAGTTTATTTTTAATTAATTTGAACCTATAAAAATTAATTAATTGAAAGAAAAGGCGTTTTCACAATTTTTTTAAAATTTTTGCAACAATTTTAGCAACAACACAGATTAACATATTTAGAACCAAAAAATAATACACTCACACTTTCCATTAATAATTTAACAAATTAAAATTCCTCCAAATATTTTTATTTTTCGACCATAACTCGCTATATGTGTTTGTTTGACATAAGTAGTTATTATAAAACGGATATCTGTAGACAACAAATTCTAGCTAGATATCTATATATAATTCAACTCAGATCAGCGAAAATGAGCTATAATTTGTATTTTTTGGTCCGCACTTCCGTTTAATATTAGAGGTGAGATTAGTCATCATTCAATTTCTCCAAATCACAAATGTAGAATATAAAAAGAATAATTTTTGCAAAAAACAAAGAAATAAATAAACTTTTTTGTTTGTTTTATTTAAATAAAAACAATTGTTTTTAGTAAAGACATTACGTAATTTTAGTTACGCAAAAATTTGTTTTTAAATTAAAAAGGTTTTTAAATGAGTTTTTGTTATATTTAATAATGTAAATAAACGTCCCCAATATATTTGCAATTAAATGACGATTATTTGCGTGTTGTTAATTAGTAAAATGCTAATAAAGCTTTTAAATTAATTTACGTTTGTTTTTTTTTTTGTTTAAAAATAATTTTTAATCTTTTTAATTATTTTCTAAAAATATACTTTTTCTTTTATTATTTTATTTGTCCTTACATACAAATTATTTTCTGTTATTTTTGTAAAACATTTTTTTGAATAAAATAAATTTTGTACTAAATAATTATAATTCGTTATTTAAAAACAAAAAAAATTTATTTATTTAAATATTTTTGTATTTTAGTTAAAGACAAAAAGATATTTTTATTTAGGTAGTTGACATTTATTAATGTTTTTTTATTTAAAAATATTTAAGATAAAAATTTTTGGTCATGAGTGGCTGGCACGAGTTTTAGTAATGTTTGAGCGCATGTTTTCGCAAAAACAGACAAAATAAGATTTAAAGAATGTAAAACATTCAAAATAAGGTTAAATTAAATTATTTAAAGGTTTTTAAAATTTTTTATTTGATAAATTAGATTATGGAAAATATTTATACTATAAAAATATTAAAGCTTATAAATAGATATTAAATCAAAAATTTCAAAATTTATAGAAAAATTAATAATTTAGGATCTTTTACAAAAATTTCACAGTTACCTATCCTAAAAATTGAACATTTAACTCAATTGACCACAAAATTTATAACTCTATTCTATTATAGATATAATTCGATTCTTAGTGTCGAATAAAATCTTTTAGACTACATTATTAAGCATAACGTTTAAAAAAACTCAAAATTTCCCTCAAAGTTTATGAAGAACAAAATAAGTTCTGCCAATCTTAAAATGCATAAAATTCCTTGCATCAACAGTAATAAATGCACCAAAAGCTTTTCCTTAAAATTAAAATATTTTTGATTAAATTTTCTAATTAGAGTAAATCGAGAGTGAGCAGGAATTAGATCCCGATTAAGGATCGAATCAAAGATTTATATCCGAACCGAAGATTTCCGGATATCCTGGGTATTTCGTTTCATGATACCCGGAACCGCCAACCTTAATCCCTATCTCTTTCCCAGCATTTTTTTGGAATTCTCGGCCACTCTAAAATAAACTATAATTAATTTACTAACCAACAATAACATCCCATTTTGGAGGAATTTTTTCTTCTAAAGTCATTTTTAAATATTTTGCAATTTCCCATTCTGTTTTATTTAACTTTAAAAAATAATTATTTAATTTTCTTTATAATAATTTTTTATAAACTTGTAATGCTTTACATGCAAGATTACATATTTGCCCCAAATCAGCTTTCATTTTTGTAGAAAAATAAAATATTTCTGCTTCATTAATTTTTCTATCATCTCTTGTGTCAATATTTGGCATTTAAATTATTTTATTTAAAAAATTTTTGAATTTAATAGGACAGGCGTAAATGGAGCTAACAATAGTCACAAATAAAGGAAACTGGCTTGTTTCTAACTAATATCCGAAACTAATTTTAACTTTAAATCGACATACATACCAGGGATGGATTTTCTTCCGCTTCCGTCTACTTCCATCTTTTTTGGGTCTTCCGCTTCCGTCTTTCGTTTTTTTATTTTCTTCCGTTTCTTTCGTCTACCGCTTTCTAAATCCAAAATTATCCATCCCTGATAATCCCTCCTCAACTCTTTATTTGTTTTGGAATTAATTTTTAAAAAATGTAGCAACTATTTACAAATCAGAAAAATAAGTTAAATTTTAATATTCTGATAATTGTGGTTTTACTTACAAAATGAGAGAAAGATAAAGTAAGAGGGGATTATTAGTTTAAATCATAGATTCTAAAAGCAAACAAAACCATTCAAATGTTCAAAAAAACAAATTTAAAATTCAGTTTAAAAATGTAAACAAAAAATAACTTGACTTTAAATTTCAAATACTAACTGGATTGTTTAGCTCTCTCAACAAATTTTCACTAAAATAAGTCACTTAAATCACTCAAGTAAATAGATCAATATTTATTTAAAGAAAAGGAATTAACACTTTTTATAAGCATAATTAAATGTAACTAATATATCCGGTGTGGTCTAGTGGTTAGGATTTCTGGTTCTCACCCAGGCGGCCGGGGTTCGATTCCCCGCACCGGAATTTAATTTTTATTAGATTTATTTTTATTTTAAATAACTTTAAGACAATTTATAATAAACAGAAATTCCAAAAAATTATTTTTTTAAACAAAAACATATTTAAACTTAATTTCTTAAAATTTTAATTGAGCAAATATATTTAATCCTCATCTGAAGAAGTTTCTCCATTTCCTTTCTTTCCCCGACCAATTAAATTATCTTCATCGTCAGAATCAATGGCTGCCCTTCTTCGATCATACTTGGAAATAATTTAAGTTTTTTATTAAATTAAAAATTAATTTACATTAACTTTTGTAGTTTTTGATGTTTTGACAGAAATTTGGTCCAAAAGTTTTTTCAAATCTTCGTCAGTCATTTTGCCTCGAATTTGTCCCATCCTGAAAAAATAAATAAAAAATTAAGAGTTTTTAAAAACAAAAAATGGCGACTATCAGCCTTCTAAAAAATTATTAGAAAAAATTTTTTGGAAGAGAAATTGTTTTAAAATAAAAATTTTTTAAAGTAGTTGGTATAATGTAGAAGCAGGCCCGTAGCCAGATTTTTTCCGGGAGGAGGCAAGGGGGAAAATTGTTCTGCGCCAATTTTTAGAGCCACAGGAGGAAAAAATAATAATTGTAAATTAATTAAATTCGAAGGAAAAATTTTTTAATTTCCGTTAATATAAAAATTAAATTAAGAAAAAATTTTTGGGAATTTGGAATAAAAACAATCAAAAATTTAATTTCTATAATTAAAAATTTTTTTATTTTTTTTAAGAAACCCCCCCCCCCTCTTAAAACCCCCCAAAAATTAAATAAACTACCTAGCCATATTAACAATCATATTTTCAACAGCCTGACTCTTTTCTGGTTTAGCAACAAATAAATTACTTAATCTAGAAAATGCTTGTTTATCCAAAACCTTTAAAAAATAAAAAAAATTGTTTTTTAATTTATTTTGGACAAAAAACTTGGGATAAAATTGTGTTTTTCATCATTTCTTGTTGCTGTTTTTGTTCCTCTGCTTTTTTGGCATTATTCGAATTTTCTCGATTATTTAATTGGTTATCCATTGAAGAAATCTTTAAATTTAAAAAAATTAATTTTTTTTAATTTAAAAAAAACATTTGGATTGTCCTTCATTTGCGATGTTTGTTGCATTTTTAAATAAAAGAAAATTTATTTAAATAAATAAATTAACTGAAAAATATTTTAATTAAAAATATTTATACAAAAAAATAAGTCAAGTCAGTCAAAGAAAATTATCCCAAAAAATATGGCCTGATTAGGTCCGACTCTAAAGACTACATATTATTTATCTGTTTAGAAAATTTTCTTAACGAAAAGATGCAGAAAAATACAGCAAACAAAAATTTTTTAATAATTACAAATTCTTGAATAAAAAATTGTTTATTCCCAAAATTGTTAGACTCATTGGTGTGGAAATAAGCTTTTCGGAAGGGCCAGTCGATTTAATAATTATTTAGTATCTAATTTTTGTTTTTATCTTCAAAATCTTCAAAAACAATTTATTAAAGAAATATTTATTAAAAATTAATTAGTATTTGGTTAAAAATCAAAATAAATTGTTTCTATACTTGAGATTTACTTTATACAAATTATAAAAATTTATTTTAGGGGTGGATATATTTTCTGAATTATATACTTAAAATCACCCCTAAATTTTGAGAATTTCAGTCTCAATCCTCCTGAAAATTTATAAAAAAATAAAAACAACAATTTTAACTAAAATTTTAAAAAGTCTTAAAGTTATGTAGTTAATTTTGTTTAAGCGTTGGGAAGGTGAAAAAGTTTTTTTAATCCTTAAATTGAGGATTGTTTGTGAAAATGTTTTTGATTAAAGCGAAATTTAAGTTTTTAAATTTAAATTTAAAAAAAATTTAAATTAAAATCAATATTTATTTAAATTAACTGTCTGGGTTTTAATTAAATTTATAGACGATTTACGTCAATTGAAGACAAATAAATGCCCTTTTAATTGTCTGGCATTTTTAAAGAAAGGGCATTATATGGAAATTTCTATTGTTTAAAGGAATTTATAAAGGGCAATGTCTATAAATTTGTCTGTATAGACAGACATGAGTGGAGGCGCGTGTTAGAGGCTAGCTCCAGACGTCTTTGATTTTTTTCTTAATTAATTTCCTTTTAAGGAATGTCTAATTTCTTCTTCACCGCCATTTTTAGAAAGTCAATTGCTTCAAAGTCAAATTAATTAAAAAAAAGTTTAAGTGTTTCTAAAGTTGCTTTTAAAAGACAAAAAACTGAAGAAAACCCTTTCCTAAACTTTTATTTGTTAAAGAGCTGTCCAAATCTGTTTAATTTCTAAGAAAATTTTCAGTTTGGACAGCTCTACTATTTTCGAAAAAAATAAAATTAAAAAAAAATTCTCAAAAATTCTTTAAATTTAATTTTTAGATTTAAAAATGATTTTTCATAAAACTTTTCTTCTCTTTTTGATTTTTCTTTTTATTTTGTGGCCTTCAAGTAATGCAATGTTAAAAATGTCGGCTGAATCTATCAAATCTATCAAACGAAGTTTTAGTTTAGATTCATTGTCTAATCTTGATGTATGGCAAGTGACGGATAATTTAATGAGTAAATTTAAAAATTAAACATAGGAAAGGAACTTTATTTTTGTCTAGTCTTTTAACATAAGTCTTCAATTAAAAAACCTATTAAAAATTCGAACTCTCTCTACTCTCTAAAAATATTTAAAATAAAAATTTTATTAAATAAAAAAAATTTTTTTAAGCAAGTAAAAAAACGATAGAAAAAAGTCACAGTGTTATAAGAGATTTGAAGTATTCAAAAAATTCGAAACAATTGGAAGAATTCAAATCAGATTTGACAGATTTAAATAAAGAAATTACTAATAAAGAAAAGATGTGGATTTCAAAAGTTAAAAATTTATTAAAACATTATAGAGAAATTGTTAATGAAGCTATAAATTTAAAAAATGAAGAGAATAATTTTCGGGAAGAAACTAAATTAGACGTAAAAGAGAAATGTAAGGAAGAAATGAATAATAATGAAATTGAAGTCCCTAAATATAAAATAAACGAAATTAAAGAAATTATTTATAAATTTGATGAAGAATTAAAAACAATTAACAATAAGGTAATTTATAATTTATAAATACATATTACCTACCTTTTCGGAGACTGAAAAAAATGTTAAAGTTAATAATTGGATATCCAGCTAGATTTTTGAAAGAAATGCCAGAATTATAACTTGAGTAGCTAATTTTTATAAGCGGAAACTTTTTAAAAGGAATCGATGTTAGGGACGGAGATTCAGAATATCAAAACCTCTAAAAATTAAAGAATACTTTTTAGATGGTGGAATGCACATATGAATATGTGCGTTTAAAGGAAGAATTTAAACAATATTATGATAAAAATAAATTAAATGAATATCAAATATTATTGCTTGATATTAATCATTCTTCTAAAGATTATTTTGAAGCAATAAAAAATGCTAAAGATTTAATCGGGGAAAATAAAGATTCTTCTTCTTCGAATAATAATAAAAGTCTAAAAATTCCAAAATTGAGAAGGGCCAATCCAAAAAAGGGAGAAATAAAAGAATTATTAGAAAATAAAGTCATATTGAAACATGATTGGAATGAGATTAATAAAATAAAAATACCTGTAGAAAATTTTGTTGAGAAAGCTAGAGAATTGTTAGGAAAAATGGAAAAAGAAATTAAAAATTTTGAAAAAACTGATAAAATTTTCTTGGAAACTATTCACAAATTGGAATTGGGAAAATTAAATTATGGAATAATTAAAAAGGAAAAAGAGGATGAGGAGGAGGAAAGTGTCAGTGATTTTGAAGGTTCTTGTAGGGATATAGAATCGCCTAGAAATTATCTATCTGATGCGGAAAGTTTTGTATCTGAGAGTGAAAATGAAGAATCGGGAATAATTAATTTATTTAAAGATAATTGTAAGTTTAATGATTTTTTAAAGTCCCGGATAGCCAATAAATAATGATACTTTTTTAAATTTAAACTTCGGAAAAAGGCTAATTGATTTTGTAAAATATTTTAGATATAACACAAAAATACTAACAATAGATAATGTCTAAAACTGCTATTCGGCAGCCAGTTTCTACCAAAAAAATAAATCTGATAGACATTCAAAAATATTAAACAAAAATCCTCTCTTTTAGATTAAATATAATCAAGGCGATTCTTGACCGCCCATTCTAAAAATAATAATCCCTCTTAAAAACATTCAAAAAAATTTTTTTA